TATTAAGTGTCTATACAGTCACGGTACATATTATGATTCCTCTCTACCTTCCAATAGGCCAGTTCTTTGGTCTCAGGTGCTTCTCTTCGCCTGGCTCCGCCTCACCAAGACCTGAGACTAGTGACTTTTTTTAAGGAACGACCCAATGACCGGATACGGTATGTTTGGGTACTGGTACCTCTGTGTACCTCTGGAGAATCTTTAGATGTTTGCGAAATCCTTTTTGAGATCAATAATGACTATCCTCATCGATCATCGATCTTCATCTATCGTCTATGTCTTCCTATGTGCTCTGATTCTCACAATCTCGCAACTTGAGCTGGCCAGCTGGGCTTTGGACGGTGGAGGCCTTCACATTCCGCCAGCGAGAGCTCGAGGTCAAAGTGGGACCTGGACGCCGGTGACGAGCAAAAAGAACACTGTTCGTTGTGCTTTCCCCACCTTCGAAATCTTCAAATAAGTGCACCAACAATTTGACAAGTACGAGAAGACCGGTATAGTCACTGTGAATTCTTCCAGTCTTCCGGGCCTCAAAAGTTGCTGCAGGTGCTTTCCAGACTCGATAGAAAACTTCTGGCAGCTTCCAGCAGCCTCTCGCAGAAAGTGCGAGCCTCAATAGTGACTGACTGGTTCATCCACTCTCTTTCCTCACTCCATGTGTAGCTATTGGCTTCAGTCCGCTCTAACCTTCTTGACTCATTCAAATTCGTGTTTTCGACTGCCCCAGATTCATAGTGTTGCATGGAAATCTGAAGAGGAAATGAAATTTCAATTTGAATGACCACCAGGTCTAGGACTTCAAGGAAGCCTCAGCCGGTACACATGTCTTTGCAGCATAATTACATTAATGTGTCATGCATTACCCCGTTAATACAGTACTTAAAGAATAATGCCTTTGCATGCCTTTGCAGCATAGTGCACTATGCTGCAAATGAATCTGCAAATGAGACACCCAAGATCCGGATGTGCTCCCGATCGCGCCGCTCACACCACAGTCTCTGCGTAAACGGGCTCTCGAAATATCCATAAACCTCAGACTGGCTTGTCCTTAAGGGAAGCTTTCAATCTCGTTGCTGTCTTTGGGTTTCATCGAGCAGCTGCTTCTCGTGGCATACTTCCAGTGTCTATGGACGCTTCGTTTCACCCTGTTTCACCCCGTTAACATTCAGAGGAGTCTTGCGCCAAAGAGGCTTTCAGATTCAAGGGAATGGAATCCACGTAGCTCAAGTCCTGCACTGGCAGGATAGAGTAGCCACGCATCCACTTGCCGTCAATTTCAACCCACAACATGTAGGTGTCGTAGTCCAGGCCTACAGAACGGAGCTGGCACAGAAAGCATTGCTGAGGTGGATTATTCTAGGTGGAAAGGTACATCCATATAGAATGACATGGAATCCATCATAAAACTTGGAAAGTGAGTCGCTTCAAATGGTGGAGCACTACTCTTTGCATACCATGCTCACACATCAACAATAGACCGGCCTACAAAAAAGAAACTTGCAAAACATCTCAGAAGTGGCTTACACAACAGATCCAGGAAGAAACGCTCTGATGCTCCGACAGTCTCGTCGCCTTGAAGCGTCTTGAAACTTGAACTCTCCAGCCTCATTCCTTGCCCGAAGAAAAACTGGAACAAACGTTCCAGGAAGGTCTAAAATCTCCACAACGAATCAAGAAGCGTTGATTCTTTGGAGGTTTTTTTGACTTGAAATCAAACTGAGGTCAGCGGGTCGGCAAGAATGCGGCGGGGGGGTCAAGGAAGCTTCGCTCGTCTGACCGGAGAAGCTTCCTTGTAGCACCCGCGCTGCCCAAAGCCGTTTTTTTAGATGTTCCGAACAAGAACTCTTGTAGCAAGAAGGAGGTGCCGACAACCAGAAATCCTGGGTGCTCTTCGAAACAGCGTCAATCACAAGTCGTGCAAGGAAGTGTATTGCCGGCAGCCATATCAACAAATTTAGGAACTAGAAGGAGGTAAATGCAGCTGCCAACCAGAAAACCTGGGTGCTCTTCGACACAGCGTCAATCCCAAGTTGTGCAAATAAGTGCACTGCCAGCGGCCATATCAACAAATTTAGGAACTAGGAAGTAAACGCGGCGGACAACCAGAAATCCTGGGTGTGTTTTAAAGAAACAGAGTCAATCACAAGTCGTGCAAGCAAGTACAGTATATTGCCGGTTGCCATATCAACAGCTTGTCAGCTTGTGCACAAAATTATCTCAAAGCCATGAAAAGTACGCATTCTCAAGCGACACCTTCAAGCCAAGCGGCTGGTGTGTCCATTTTGGAGCACTCCTGCAGAAAGTGCGAGCTTGGTCAGTCAGATCCAAAGGGAGCTGAACCGAAGCTGCACAGCTCTCCTTGGTTCAGCTTCTCCAAGCTGATGGGCTCAAACAGTCCAACCTTCCCAAAGGCCACGTCGCACAAATACGGTGGACCAGTGGTGCCGGCGTTCACTAGCAGACCTGTTCAACAAGAATCTTCCACTTCTGCCAGTTCCATTCACTCATGGTTAGAGGACGCTACTAGGAGCAAAGGGCATCGCTACTAGGAACAAGAAGCTACTAGGGGCTCCTGGCATCGCTACTAGGAGCAAGGACGCTACTAGGGGCTCCTGGCATCGCTGATGCTTTATCAAAGTTCAAGGTCCTCAGCTCCAGGCACATGTGCGTGTGCAGTGGCGGTGTTGGCAACCTTCGCACATACAGGAGTCAGTCTTGCTTGTGGAAAAGAAGTGAATCTCAACACGCTTGCACTCTCGCCTGGGCGTTTCTCCGTCATCCAGCCATACACGAGCAGCAAACGGCTGCACCTGAAAGCCGAGGTGAAGCAGGAACACTGCCAAGAGCTTGTTCCTGGGCCGGTGCTGAAAGTGCTTGGAACATGTTGATTCGACCCATTTGTGGTCTTCAGCTTCTTCGTTGTTCTTCCGTTTCCCAACAGCAGATCTGTGGATCTGCACATCACCCCCTTGTGTTAGCAATCTCGACAAAAGCCGGGTGGTTGAGGCTTGGTCTTGAGACAAATCCAATAAACAAGTCAGACAAGCTTCAGCTCAAAACAATAGCCTCCACGCCTGCCGGAAGGCATTCCAAGCACAATGGAGTCAAAAACCCACAGCTCAAAGAACAAACATGGAGAGTTACTCAGTCAGAGCAAACATCTTCTGCTAGAACCAAATCACTTCTGCTAATCATGAGCCAAAGGGATGTAATGTGATGTGATGTGATTGTGATGGAAAGGTTAGAAAGAGCATGAATTAGCTGTGAAGCTGGTGATTAGCTGCACCACATGCCTGCTGCTGCCATCTGGTCCACACATCTTGTCAATGATGTCAGCAATATCCTTAGCATGGGCAGCATGGGTCAATTGGAAGACTGATCTGAGCTGCCCGGAGCGGCCAAGGCTCTAAGGAGACCCAATCCTCTCGCAAGGCGGTAAGGTTTTCGAAAGGCAAAGCCTCAGGGATAAGAAGCGGAAGTGATCATGTTCCACTGAAAGCTTTGAGCAAGTGACGCAAGTGATTGTGGTCGGTTCCAGGGGCATGGCCGGCTCATCGGCTCATCCCGAAGAGAAGAAGCAGAAACTATTTTCGGGACAGGTGACCATCGCATCGTCTTCAACTGGCCCGTGTTGGGTGTAGGTTGAAATTGCAAGGTGTCCCAAAGCCGGGAGTCCCTCCAATGACACCTGACCTCGATCCCAGAATCTACCGCAAGATCTGAATAACTCTCCAAGCAACACTGAAGAGCCCGCGATGAACCTTGAAGAGCAAGTCTGGACCTGCAGCCTCCTGGACAAACCACAAGCCAAAAGCACCTTCAAGCCAACAATTCTGCCTAACACCAAACGCGGCCCATGCAGTTTCACTCTTAGAGAGGGCCAAGACAGCCCCAAGACAGCACCGTCATAATAGAACAGGAAGGCATGTCAACTCTTTGGCTCTTTACATGTTTTTACATCGAGACTGGCCTCACCACAGAAGCTGTCCGACTTGTCTCAGATGGCGAAAAACACAAGATTTCAAAATATACTTCTCCAAATGTTTCGTCACACTCAAGAAGTGATCGTCATGTCTTGCTCCTATTTTTGGAGACTTGACGGTTTGACAAAAGCTTAATTAAAGAAAAAAGCCTCTGCAGGCCTCTGGGTTTTCGTTGGGGGGAGATGAGCCACCGCTTTTTGGGTCAAAGTTCGTCCTCGCACTCGTCCAGTAGACATCGCTTCCGCAGGCGTTTCACCTGCGACTTGCTAAGCTTCACATCATGAACACGTTGGTAGCTGGGTGGCAAGGCCATGGCGGCCATGGCACAAAAGACACTGACGTTCCTAGTAGCTTCTCCTTCCGTAGTAGTAAGGCTAGGAGCTACTAGTAGCGTCCTTGCTCCTAGTAGCGATGCCCTTTGTTACTAGTAGCTTCTGGTTTACATTTGGTGCCTTCCTCTTGTTGACTTGCCATGCTGCCGCCCTGCTTTATCTGGGATTCCTCGGGTGTTGGGATTGAGGATCTTGAGGTCCAGTCAATGATTGGGGATCCCGAAGAAGGGATCCTGCCAATGATTGGGGAGATGCTCTGGGAGTTAGAACCTTTGTATAATGTATATAGCTATTTCGGACACTAGCCGTTGGCCCATCTTCCTCTAAGTCCATCTCGACGTTTATTGGCAGACAGTACGCAACTCCGCAAGGGTGCTGTAGATAGCTGCGGACAGGTTTGACGGCCAAAGCATGAAGATCTTGAGGATCTGTACATCGCTTGAAGTGAACTGACCACTTCACACTGCGAGTCAATCAAGTGCTTGCTGTTCTCCTCAAGTAGAAACAGGTGCATAACTATCAGACGGATGGCGTTTCTCACCAAATTGCTGAAACCTGCTGAATGTGTGGACCTATGAAAGAAAAAACAAACAACAACAACAACAACAAGAAGAAGAAGAAGAAGAAGAAAGCATCATTCAAACATGCCTCTGCCTGTTCCATCTTAAACATGCCAGTGGCCAACGTGGCTCGCAAGCCCTTCGCTGCCCAGGCACCATACCTAGTTGTCACCCCCAATCGAGCAAGGACTGGTGAAAAGCGGTTGGGGAGTTGAGGCGGTTGACGCCCTCAGCGAGTCCTTTTATATACATCTTTTTACCAGTGGTCTGCTTGTCGGAGAATCGGACACCATCAAGTAATCGTAGCTAAACCAACGTAATTGAGCTTGGGAAGACAAAACATGTTTGCAAAAGGTCACCTCAACCAAGCCTCAAAGAGATGGTGTGCTTCTCCGAGTGAAGACCAAAACTCTAGATCGGGCTACTACAGCCGTGGGCGACCGAGACACTCTCTGCTTTCAGGAGGCCGAAAGATCACTTTGTGATAGTTAACCGCATGGCAAAAGCATGTAAAACCCTGCTTCACAAGGATCCGTTATCAAACTCAAGTGACATGTTTTTTCTCTGGGTGGCTGGCACTCCGAATTCTTGTCGGAGTTGCACCAACTCACCCAGAATGCCCGTCTATACATTCCAAACAGTTTTCCAAAAGTCGCTGCAACTCACTCTGTTCGCTATCGCCTGTCTTTCCTCATTCTTTGGCCGTTGGTTTCCCTTCTTCCAGATCTGAGAGCACCGTGTGCTTCTGGTCACAGGCATCTCGACACTTCACAAAGCCCACATACAGCAGGACCACCAGCAACAGCCCAACCAGCGCAGCAAGTGTGATGATAATCGCCCCCCTGCGGTTGGTTCCAATCAAATTGGCTATAGAGCGGGCAGAGCTCCTGAGGGTAGTCATCACAGGGCGTTCGCGTGCCAATTCGGGCCACGAAGTGGATGATGGTCCATGCCAAGTAAGTCAATAAGAACATCAAGGACCAAATTCCATTTTTGAAAGAGAAGGGTATGCGGCAAGCAAATAAACTGATGAGCAGCGCGATCCAGTCTAGGAAATGTGCCCACAAGGAAGAGAAGATCACAGGCTCCACATCCCAAATTGGGTTCACGATTGTCCAATACAGCAAAACTACCACTAAGGAGATAGGCTGAGCGCAATACCACATGGCAACCGTGATTCGAACAAAGAGAGGGGTGGGTAAAGCTTTGTCTGCCGTGGGCAAAAGAGTATAGCCCCACAAGACTGAGACGAAGAGACAAAGCACGGTCGCGGTCTCGAAGCATATTGCCCAATTCGTGAGGTAAAAAAAAGTAGTAAATGCCATTGCCTACAAGAAAGTCACTGAAATGAAGGATCTGCAGGGCCAAAAAGGTACTCGCCAAGACAAAGTTGAAGATGACATAGGCCAACGGATTCATCCATGGCGATGTCGCAATTTGGTACGGCCAGTCTACATCAATGCTGAAGATCTGGCACATGGCTCCACTACCTTGAGTGGCACAAAATCAGATTGGGCCGGGCGAGTGTACCAAGAATGGCTGCAGACGGTCTGCGTCGTGCAAAATGGCATAAAACATGTGCCATGCTCGCCATGCCAAAGCAATTAAGCCTTCAACTGTGTGGCCATCTCAGGCTGCTGCATATATCTAGCAGCTCCCTCCAACGTGGACATCGTCCTGTGTGTTCCAGCTTGTGCATAGCGGCGTCTGAACACGAACCGACTTCCCAAATGGATTCATACTCCGAATCTCTCCAAGAATTGTTACAAGACCATGGCCGTTTCACCAAGACTCAAAGACCTTTCAGTCCTGTCGGTGATGAGGATCTTCACCTCAAACATGACTGTCCACTTGTGATGAGCCTCTACATTCCGTCTGTCTGGACTGCCCGCCTCTGGAAACCGCCGCGCCACATAGCAAGCAGCGACGCCACCGATGGATCTGACGCGCCACCGTGAGGGTCCCAAGTTCCAATGTATTCGGTCAATGACCAATCCATGTGGCGCAGTGTTGCTCTTTTAACGGTGAAGCCATGCCGTTCAAAAGAGCTCCCCTTCTGGCCTGCCGTAGATGCCCATGTTGTTCACACCTCGACCTCCTGACAGGCAAATGTGGGGGCCACGGTATGGTTCAACAAAAAGTTCAAAAGAAAGTAAACCACCTGCGCCAAAGAGAAATAGGTGTAGATACCCCTGAAACGATATGACTGTTTGGTAGATTCACAATGTACTCCTAGCGTTGTTGTGCTTCTTTAACAGTCTACACCCTAGCTCATCCCCTTAACTGCGGGGGGTGGGGTAGTGACGACGCATGAGGGATGCGTCATAGCCACTAGACCATACCAGCTCTCTGTACTCCTAGCGCTGCCAAATCAGGAATCTCACGAAATCTCACATGCGAGAGAGATATCTGGGTGACCTTCCAATTGCGGAAGCCCAACCATGGAGCCCGAAATGTCGCCAAATCCGAAGAGGTGCGTTGTTTTCGGGACCTCTGATCGTGTCAGACCTGCCAGTGAACAGACCTAGGAAGACGATACGCCCGGCAGGAGCGGCGCTGCGAAGGCGCGCCTTTGAGGAATCGCACCACTGCCTCTCCATCCTCCAAGCACCATGAGTGTCATGTCGAGACCAGTTCACTCCGCCACACAAAGAATATCAAAGAACAATGCACAGCACATCACAGCACAATGACCTGAAAAATTGCAAAGACACGTGCGGTCTGGACACGGATGTGGAATCTGCACTTCAAACCTCGACTGTTCCCCTTTGCACCTGAGAGACCCGAGAAGGAGAAGGCTTGCCACTGGAGCGCCTCATCTTGAGTGGGTCGCACTGGAAATCTGTCTTTAACAAACTGTTCAACTTGTGCCCTTTGCCTTTCCAGCTGATTCCAGCTTCCAATTTGAAGTCGATACGAAGCGTCAATGCCCCACGTATGGCACACTCGATGTCTTTGCCAAGGAACCCATAGCCGGCATAGTTGAAGAGAAAAAGGTTGCAACCTTCCACGCACAGCCACATGATGTTCTATTTGGTATTCAATCAGCTACACAGGCTCAACAGCCAACCTACATCCAAGCTACCACCTCTTTTGGCTCTGAAGCCACTGCGCCTCGATGCAGCCAGAACTTGAGGATTCCGGACTGGCGCCACGTTTATCATGGACGTGTGTCAAAATGAAACCTTGAAAGCTTTGGTAGGAAGAGAATCTTCTTCCTTTTGAGATGTTCACCCGGTGGTAGAGAATTTTGATGGTTTTGATACGACCATCTCGCGGCCCAAGTCTTGTTATCCAGTTTCCACTGCCATTGCTGAAACCAGGCAAAGCTGCTAGATAACTGCCGCAGCTACTTGTGTCGTTAGTGACGGCCACAGCTGATTGCTGACTGCCTGGTAGACCATAGCCTCATAGTAGGCTGCATTAGGGTTGCACCTTGGCCAATCTGAGAAGTGGAGATGTACACATTTCATCGTTTCGAAGTGACATCTGCAACCCTTGTTCCGCTCCTATTGGGCCACTCAGCCGACCTAGCCCGACCTTTCTCCTGACTGCCAAGCTGCCATATCAATGTGGGGCTCTCCTTGCAGCTTGCACAATTGCCCCAGGTCGTCGTCCCAGGTCCCGTTATATTGTCAACACAAAGGAGATGCTCTAAACTACCATTCCACGCCCTCCAATCTTGACCTCAGGGCATCCATACAATACATAATCCCTGCCTCCAGCAGGGGTGTCTCGTCTTTGGACACCTTCAAGCAAGCTCAGCGACTGCCCACATCATTCTAATGAAATGTGCCTGTCCTCATTTCTAATGCTTTTGTTCAGCCCTCCGAGATCCTCCGAGCCATATGCGTAGCCCATACGGGCAACTCTGGCAACTCTCTGCCCAACCCGCCCAGGACGCCTCCGAGTCAGGAAGGCGATAGCCCCGCTGGCATGGGATGAACATCGCCTCGGCTCGTTGAACTGTTTTTGTGGGAAAGCGAAGCTACTTCTTACCAGTACTGAAGCGGGTTTGAGACAAAGCCAACCGTGTCGCGGCTGCAGCTGTGTGTATGTTACGAATGTTCAAGCCGGAACCTTTGCGCGTGAAGAGCGTGAAGACTGATCCGGGGCCACAAGATATGCATTGAAATTGACCATGCACAGCATGTTGGGGCTAAGACTAAGATCAGCACCCCCATCTTTGCCAAGTCATGAAAAACACGAGGGAAGAGTCTGTGAAAAGTGAGATCACAAAGGTTGGTGGGATGTTCTTGGAGACTTGCTGCCAACCTTGCTTTCTAGACGGCGATCGTCAGAAGTCGTTTTCAAATCGATGAACCGATGCTCCACCAGTTCGAGTGGAGGTCGATGGAGCTGTGGTTCACTGTTCGAACACAATCTTTGTAGATCCTTTTGGCTGGGAGTTGGTTTCCTGGATAGAAATACATTTGGTCGTGAAAAAAAAGCAACCGACGAACCCTTGAACTTGCTGGGGTGAAGGTAGATCCCAACTCGCTGGGTGCTCAGACCACTGCTCTCCACTGAGCACCGCGCGTCTAATCGATGACCGCCTCTTGTAGGTACCTCGCGGAGCGAAATGCAAGTCGACCGAGCGAATTGATGAACAATGAAGAAGTCGGGTCAACTCGCAATGTGAGGATCCAGTTCAACGAGTTCACTATTTGCTTCTTTATATATACAAAGAATAATGTTCAGGGCATCAGCTGCATACTATACCACCGAACTCATGTTGCAACAAAACTCCTTTTGCAAAGGACGGATACTTACTTCCTTCTTTGCTCCTGGTACAAGAGGGAAAGCAGGCGGAGAAGGACTGCCCACATCGTTTCTCACTGACAGATTTGGTCAAAAAGCTGGTCCGGAGGTCAGTCTGCCTGCCACTCGATCCATCCAGTACACTGGCTGCTTTGGAGGGCCAAAGAAATGAATTTTGAATTGACAATTGAGGCTGCGCTGACTTTTCAGGGCTGCCAAAGGCAAATCAGGCAAAAACAAAAATGCAACTACTCTGTGCACACCATTCGCACAGCTTGAGCGGCAATTCCAAGAGTCCATAGCAAACCCTAGCTCAAGGGGCGCGCTGCGCAGTTCGCTTGGCCAGCCTCTCTCGCAAGCTAAGTACACGAGGATGACTTGGTACTTGGGGCCCTTGGCAGTCGAGGCTGTTATTCTGAGGGCCTGAGCTTGCTGACCTTGAGGCGCTGAGCTTGCGCTTCGGGCGCTGTTCAGTCTCACTGGTCAGCTCGGTGCACTCAGGTGCTGGCATACTTGCCATGCTAGATTGACTCAAGTTCGGTTCAGAAAAGTCTTGGGAAACAAGCTCGACTTCTTCACTGCTGTCATCGCGCAGTTCAGCATCTGAACAAACATCATCCTCAACCTCCTGATTTTTGAAGTGTTCTGCTTGACACTCCATGTCAGGCAGTGATGGTGACACGGACAAACGTCGAGCACCGCGAATGAGCACCATCCATTCAGTGGGTCGAGCACAGGAGGGACATGCAGCAGATCCCTCCGGTATAAGCTGAGCTCCTTTAGTTTTCGGGAAAAGTTCAAGAGCACAGGGCGTCAAATGAAGTGGACATTCACAATGTGGGCAGCTCACGACGCGATCCGCTGGTTCCAAGCGCCCTGAGCATTTTGCACACACAGAGCTGGTCACAGGAATCATCATCATAGATTCATAGCACAGGCGTTCAAGCTCATCAAAACTGCCCAGAGTAAATGTCATGTGTGTCGGAAGCGCTCGTGCAGCTGGCATCTTTGGCAGCTGAGATTTAGCAGCTTCATCCAGGAAATGAACTCGCAAAGGCATTCGACTATATGGGGTGGCTTTCAACATCTCAATCAAAACCTGAAGATTCGGCGTTACACCCATCACGGGGGACTGTCTCCCGTTCCGAAGCTTGCAAAACTTCAGGTGCGCCACTTTGTCTCTGACATTTCGACACACATTAGGGTGTTGCCATGCAAACTCAAACTGCAGCGCCAGTACTTTGTTTGGAAATCCCCATACACAAAGAATCATTTGCCATGGTCTCCAGCGTTTGGTCCTATTCGCTCCAGCTGTGATCTCCCCGTTGTGCTGTCGCAAGCGTCGACGTGGGTCCATCGTGAAGCCAATGTAGGTTCTATTGCTATTGGTCAGGGACTGAAGCAAGTAGCAGCCATAGTAGGTTTGCATGGCGTGGCACACTTCAAAGCTGATGATCCTAATGGCTGCTCGGTTGGACTACAGGGGAAGCAAACGACGGGTTCATGATTCATGTAAACTGCATCTCTCTGTCTCCCTTGGTACCCAGAGTTGTTGCCCAGAGTAGTGCAGCTGCAACTCGGCCTGGGCACGGCAAGAAAGGGGCTTTTGGTCTTTGCATCCGTATCTTACTTCAGTCAAAAATGGGGACATCTCTCCTTCCTGCGATTGGAGCATGTCGTTCACATGTCCCTGTGTGCCCAAACGTATATAGTCCTGTGTGTGTGTATATTTTTTAATAGTTAAGTTATATGTTATATATATATACAATATATCTATATATATATTCCAAATGACACAATTCACTCAAAACCTTCCCCGATCAAAGATCGTATATAGAGGGGTCAAACTTGGCGCTCGTCGTCCTTTTTGCGACAGCAGGCTGTAGTCCTTTCGCACTCATGACGCAGACGTGTCCTGGGAGTGTGGCACAAATGAAGATGATAAGAGGGTGACTGACAGGATTGGGGGATCCAAAGTTGAGACAACCTGCACACAGTCAATGTGGCAAATCAGACCTGATGTTTTTCCGTGTGTGATGGTGACATCACCTCGGGCTCCGTTGGCCACAGAAAAAACATCTGCAGCGGTTGTTCCCCTTAACAGTCCCCGACCAACTGGCTGCCAAAAGTCTGTCTCCGCGTAGATGCTCAACCTAGCATATCTCAGGCAGTTAAAGGACAACCGACCCGTCTGGAGAGACCATCGCTCTCCCCCCCAGACGTGCTCTTCACCATTTGAGTAGCTTCTAGTTACTGGTAGTAATGCCAGGAGCTACTAGTAGCTTCTAGCTCCTAGTTAGCGATGCCCTTTGTTCCTAGTTACGATGCCCCTGTTATTAGTAGCTTCTTGCTACTAGTGTTCTTCGACTGGGCTCCTGACGCTTGGCATTGGAATCTTTGGCCATCGCGATGATGGCGTCCTTGAGGCCAGGATTCTGCGGCCCTGCGCAGTGCACCACATGACTGGACTGATTTCGCCGATGTTCGGCCAAATCCGAAGGAAAAGGGATGAAAAGGCTGGTTGGCCAGGAGTGAAGTCTCTTAGGCATGGACCCATCTTCCAAATGAAGGCATCCTTGGTCAATAGGCGACTGGCTGGAAACGCTGAGATACGGTCAAATGGACCAGGAGCTCTCATTGCAGCCGTGACTCGAGAAAGTAGTGCGCAAGTTGCGGAAGCATCAGCAGACTTACCATGACCTCAAAATGAGAACCTTTTCGTGCAGAGTTGGAGTTTGAACAAGGGATCAGCAGAAGAATTGAAGTCTTCTGAGCAAGGGACGCTTCTGCTCAAGCCATGCAAGGGTGGAGGTGTGTACATCACAAGGTGGATGTAGTCCTGCAGTGGTGTGTGGGTGTATCCTTGCGATCGTGTCTTCAACTCAAACCCAGTCCTGGTTGATCAGAATATCCCAGGCGAGATCTTCGCTACAGGCCAACAGGCACAGGAAACCTAGGGAGATGCATGGACCGAAAAGAACACTTTCACAATCACACGTCAAGGAATAGTGCGAGTCAAACGACACAAACATTATACAACAGTGCTAATTCGTGCCAAATAGCAGGTGTAGGCCACTGGCGTGGATACTAAGAAGCAGTTCAGGTGATCCTCAGACCATATCAGCGCTGGAAAGCATCATTCAAGTGTTTGATGCCCAATCTTTGTCTTTACTGTGATGCCTTCGCTTCAATGTGATACCAGTTGATCTTCTGTCCGCTAAGCATGACAAAGTCCGGCTTCTTTGGGATTCAAATCGACAATGACGACAATATCACTCCGGTGAAACAGTGACTGTGCGACAAAAGGGACATCAATTACTCCTCCATTCCTTGAGGTGTCTGTATCTCTCCCAACCCTTCTTCGAGCTGCAGTCCAGCGCATGCTCTGTGGAGACTTTGCCATCCAGAGGCTATAGCGCGTTCGAACCACCTGGTCTAGGGACAAATAAGCTTAAGGTAGACTTCTAGTGCGAGAAGATCATGATGATCATGCATTGATAATGCTTCAAATATTTGGTGTCTGCTTGACTATGGATACAAAAGCAACCTCACCATTGCAGTCTTCATAAACTTGGCCGCTCCCTGTGCAAGCGCGGTGGCCTGGTAGACCAACCAACCTCGGAATAGTTCAACATTCAATCGCAAGACCTGGACAACACAATAATAAATATAATACATAGCTATCCTCAGCTAACTTCCTAGCCTTGGCTCACTTCCTAGCGACCATCTTGAGTCTGAAATGATAATTATTGCGTTCTTTGTGTGAACGACTTGGCTTAACCACTCTGGTGCTCCAATCAGCTCCAGGCACTCGAAGAGAAGCCGTGGAAGAGATTGATGAAGGCCAACGAGCGGACGTGGTGGGGGCACATCCCCATGTACCAGGTGAAGTAATGCGCAACCTTACCAAAATATGGTCTCAAAACATGGACCAAGCATTGACTTGTTGAGGCTTGCCTAATTCTACTAGCGATCCAACCATCTCCACGTCATCCATCACCCTGGACTTTCAACATCCTTGGAACAGTTGAGCAGCTATGAGCAGCTGGGTATCTTTGCCAAGCGGCCATGACCCACAGCTTCCCAACGTTCCTTGGCTGAACCATGGCGTCAAAGGACAGCTCACACAGCTGAACCATGGGTGTCTGGTTCTAAACCAAGTCTCAACTTTCCTTGACTCCACCACTTCCAGGCACTGTGCCCAAGCCAAGCTCCTCAGCGACTCAGTTCGCGAAACAAGCAAACAACATGCAAAGTTTGAACTTCCAGGAACATGAAGGGCAGTCTTGAAAGGAGGAACTTTCTTTTTTTAGTAGCAAGGACAGGTGGAGGCCATCGCTACTAGAAACAATAAAGCTTTTATAACTTGTTCACGATAATTCATTCAGGACCTGAAGCGTGACAGGAACCTTGGCGCTCCTGGTACCAGCAGGTACAGCAGCCACAGAGGTCTTCTGAAAAGGCTCGGTAGCTCCACCAACCTGGGCCCGGTCCAACTCAAAGTGCTACTATCAATTGCACATGGTTCAAGATATAAGCTCAAAATTGTTGACGTGCAGTACCGTATCATAGTTCATATATATATATATACATAGTTATATATACATAATTAGATAGGTGATCAAGCTTGAACCAAACCCATCATGTTTGCAGGTCCTGATGGTATCTGACCAAAAGGAATTCGCTCAACCCTCAGCCTGGAGCTGGCAGGAACCCAGTCTAGGCAGGGGCATGAAATGAAGAATCTAGGCATGGGTGTCTAAGTCCGACTTGCAGAGTTGCTGATTCCAGTTCAACACTTGAACTTGCAAACAACTGTTTGGTGAAGCTTAGGCACTTTTCATCCTCACCGCCAAACCAGCTAAAGCCTTCAAATTCTCCGGCATGCCAAAGAAGCAGTGGGAGCCCAGCACCTTTCTCCGCAGATTGAAGGCACCCTAATCAAAAATCGTGTACTGAGTCTCGATGTCAATCATACACGATTCCCAAAAGGTCACTTTTTGCACCGGAGTAACAGAAGCTAGTAGTAACAGGTGCCACGCTAGTAGTAACAGGTGCCTTACTAGTAGTAACAAGAAGCTAGTAGTAACAGGTGGTCAAACACTAGGCCCATGCCGCTATCGCCCCTAGGCCCATGCCTGCCATACACGTCCAATAGTCTAATTGATGAAGAAATGGATCTCTTTCTCCTTGCCGAGCCTGACAATTGAGCATCACTGTCCTTCCCCCTTGGGGAGTGGAAGGGGACTCTGAGCTTAACAGCCATGGCGCCTTGGGAGAGCTGATTGTGAAACGCGTTGACTCTCGACCCCTTTCGATCCCTAGAGCCCACCTCTGTTGAACAAAGCGACATCAAGTGGGTTCAGCGATACAACAGAGCTCCCGAAATAGGAAAGGACGAAAAACGAGTTGCAGTACTATTTTAGAACGAAATTCATTGGAGTGTTGCATATATGGGCCATACGGAGGTCACTTGATTGAGCGTTCAAAGGCAAGACTATGAATCCAGTTGCGATTGCTGACCTGACGAAGGAACGGCATCGCTGATGACCATCTCTCATTGAATGAGCCTTGTAGAGACACAAGAGGCCAAAGGGCTGTTTCGCCTGAGCACCATCAATGCAGCGAAGGAAGCACAACACAATCTTACCCTGTTTGGATCAAACGTTGAACCCCCTAGGTTTCTTTTGCTAGGTTAGTGTACTGTAACTATGCGCAACTTGTGTCACTGGTCTCAGGTTAGTGTTTTCGCATGTTGATGTTTGTCAGGTTGAAAGGCGGTCTTTGTGTCAAGCTGTCGCTGCAAGCAAACAGGCTCAAGCTTTAGTGCGGGGGGCCCCGAGGGTTTCTCCGAGTTCTCTTTAGAACGTCCAAAGTGGCTGAAGCGCATGCAAGACATAGGACGGACAACACACACCAGTAACATGTCCAGATGACTCCAGCATTCTTTAGGCGACTCGTTTCAGCTCAAACGGGAGTGAAAGCGAGTGCAAGCGTACAATGGATTTCAACCCAGGTGAGACAGCAATTCTACCGAGTGCAATGGTGTCCATTCTTCCACCGGCGCATCCAATTCTGTCCAGTAGCGAAATGAAACATCGCATAATAGGAGAGCAAGGTCCACCCAACCCAGGTGCCAAAGACCTCACTGAGCGTCTGCTGAAGGAAAGAGCCATGTCCCCCAAAATGAGACTCTATCTGCTGTTGATCATTATGATCATTCATCAAAAAATATAAACAGTGCTGGAGCTGTCTGGCAAGCCGAAAACATCCTAAACGTTACCTTCCTCAGAGGGCAGTAAACTGCTCCCCTCAGAACGCACAAGCTCCTGCGTTACATGTCACAGAGTGCAGTGAACTGCCTGACTCGAAATTCGCGTGCCAACCAAACCTACCCACTCAACGTCATTCTGTCGCGGTTCTTTTCACCAAAATGATGTCTCTGAAAAAATGAAACTCGGTGCTTCCAAATCAACCTGTTGCTGTCGCTAGCCTCACCAGTTTGGGTTCCCAACGATGTTGATGAAGCAGCAGGGCAGCAACAAGCCTGAGGAACAGAGTCAACGAATCTCAGCTGCAGCTCCCAACAACTGTCTTCGAAATGGGGATAATTGGACACGCTTGAATGGTTTTTTGTGCAAGAAGCTCTGTACGCGTGATGAAGCGCCATAGCAGGACTACTAATGGCACGGAATAAGCACTTGCACAACACGCGGCAAGGAGACACTCCCTGTGGCCACCTGGGACAGCCATGAGGTAGAGCTTCCAGTTCAAAGCTGTCGCCTAGAGACGGGTGAGCACAGCAAACACAAAGTAAAAGCGGCTGCTTTGTAGACACAGCCTCACAGGACCGAATCAAAGGCAAATATCGCCAATTAGCTTCTAATATGTTGCAATGCCTAGCGATGTCAATGTGATTTTTAGGTGTCCATCTTCGAAGCCTCGGAATCCAGCACTGTGCGACAAACCGTTCCTGAGGCATCGCGACTGGAAGGGCAGTAAGCAAGTGTTAGCAAATTGTCCACAGCCGAGTGCTTACATGTTACAGTACCTTCTTCCAAGTGTCTGGCAAGAGCCAAACGAAACTGTCCACTGCTGTCAAAAAATATCGCAGCTAAAACCGACAACAGCAGTCTTCCGAGTTGAGGGCATGATTTAGCCAAGCTTCCATACACATGCGCCACATCCTTTGCAGAAGCTGGGAAGCAGTTCCAAAATGCAGCATCAAAAGGTATTATCTTTCGTACCACGCCATTAAATCCAAGCTGCCACCAGAACTTCGAGGAAAAGCTTTGCCAAAAGAGGTTGCTCCTCATTCTTGATGGACGATGTCAGTGGCACCTAGCAGCTTTTTGCTGCGCTGGCGAACTTCCACCGGGCCACTCTGCATTAGGCCCAGAACTTCTGAGGATCCGCACCAACACCAAGGCGAGAAGCACTGGGAGTACCATCCCGAAGCCATCGCTCCAAGTGGAAGACACCGGGGTCCACATCGAGACGCTCTCTATTGGGCACCCAGGAAGTTAGACTGCCACCCGAAACAACCTGGGGACGTCTTCCTTAAATTGTGAAGAAGTCTTCTTTTCAACAAACGCACTTCAGGATCACCTTGATATTGAATTCTTACAGGTTTGAGATGCATCAAGCTGGTTGTCCATCCTGTCCTCAAGGTTGCCTGCTTGATCTTTGCACAGGTTCTGGTGCGTTTACTTTACCCTGGCTTGCTATTTGAAGATTGCTTGACCAAGATGATGCAGGACTGCAAACCAAATCGAATTGAGGCCAGTGGACACAAGCAGCACCAAGGCAAGCGGTGTGGGTCACTTGGAAAATGCTTGTCGAAAGACTTGAGCTCCACGCACGAAGCTGGCCCAGAGATCCGACCGTGGGCGCCTGGCAAGCGACAACGAAGTTACTGCTTGAGCAGTGGAAGAAGCGTGCTTGACGCTGGTTCGTTGCTTGCTGCTGCTGTCCTGCTGGTGGCATCCTGTTTGTTGCTGCTTCGGTCCATATTCCTCTTCTATCTGTATCATTGATAGGTTAGGTTGTGAGGTCTATTGCGGTGTTTCCTTTGATGTGACAAAACAACAGTTTGAACCAACAAGGATGAGTCAATATTGTGAGAAAAAATCTGGAGGGATACCAATGCTGTGATGAGTTTATGGCCAAAACCACATTGAAATCATCGGAAAACGGCATCCAAGCGCCATCCAAAACAAGAAAGGCAAGACAAAACGCACAAGTGTGGCACCTGAAGAAACCGCAGCACTGTCATGAGCATTCCTCTGGGGCTTCGTGGATTCCGAAGCTCCTCCTGAGGTCAACAGGGCATGTCTGACTGAAGTTCAACATCGCGTTCTTGCTACTAGTAACGATGCCCTTTGTTACTAGTAGCCTAGCGTTCTTGTTACTAGTAGTAAGGCCAGGAGCTACTAATAGCGTTCTTGCTACTATACATTAATTACATGCTGTGTGGAAGACTTCCTCTTGGGGTCTGATGGGTGTTAAACAACGAGTCACTAGTCACTGGTCCTGCCTGGCAGTGATGAGTTCCTTGAGTCCAGACTTAGATATCATGCATGTCTAAGTCTTTGTCCTACAGACTGGCAGGCTGAACAGTTCGAGGCAAAAACAAGCGCGCAAAGCAATAATATAAGAAACTTCCAAGAAACAAAGAATAGGAACTGCAATTAAAAAAGAAAATATATAAATATAAAAGATAAAACTATCACCAGGACTCACTGCCCCTCACTGACCCCAACTCACCCCAGCTCCATCACCGAGAGTAACTTCTCCAGTTGATTCATGCGCTCTTTGACGCCTTCACTGGACAACAACTCAGATCCTCGGACGCATTTGGAGCCCATCGGAGTGCTCGGGTGGAGGCCAGACGCATCGTTAAAGAAGTACCGTTGGTTCCGTGACGCACTGGACCGGATCATCGAATCAGTTCGCAGGGACGGTGAAGGAGCACCTGTGGTCCAAAGCTACTCGAGCTTCGCGAGGCTTTGTACACATGGTGTTAAACTAAACTGTTGCGTGGAGCCTGTAATTACTCCTGACTCGTTTGTCTGGAACAGATGTTCTAAGTCAAATTTTCTCCTCAAACAAGTGGATTTGGACTCATTACTTGGGGTCTTCACCTTCAGGCTGATTGGACGACAGGCTCCTACCAAAATGAACGATCAACAATTCGTCTGCCGTCTGCGCCACAAAACAAACAACACGTCTGAGCATGCGTCTGCAGTGTCAAATGTTCAGAACCGAAAAAGACACCCCTTTTCTCTTTAGCAAAGATCGAGCTCGCTCGTGGTTTGGGCTTCCCAGACTTCCAAGCACCTCGCTCTGAGACCTGAACGAAAGATGCGATAACAGGGTGAGGCTGCAGCCCAAATCCTAAAATTCTATAAAACTTCTAGCTACTAGTAGCGATGCCCTTGTTCCTAGTAGCGACACCTCAAAACCTCAGGCCTTACAAGCTTTTGCTCAGGGCAATCCTCGAGCATTCAAAAGTGTTCTTCGACAAGGTTCTCTTTTCAATACCCGCCAGCACAATCTCAAAGCAAGGCATCTTGGGACCCCAGCATCCTGAAGCGAGCAGACTCCTGCCTAGGTGAGCATGAGAGCAACAAGTCTTGGTTCCTGAATGGTAGCACGTGGTAGAATCTAGGGACACCTAGAGTCGCTCGAAAGACTCTCTCTTTGGAAGCCGTTTTGTGTCACTCCAGGCCTCACTGATGCAAACCATTCTCTCAATGGAAGAATCAAGGGAGCTCCTGTCACAGGATTGTCATGAGAAAAATCCCTGAAGAGGATCTGTATGCCTTGCCCAGTACACAGCATCTATCGCTTCCCAACGAGCGTCCTTGAACTCGAACTAGTCGAACCTGTCCATGGAGTGATGGGAGGCATGGGAGGCGCATATGCAATTCAGCCAACTCGCTGGCCTGAAGGGTTGGAAGCCAACGTTCCAAGTCCTGCAGCCACAAAGGAGTCACTCAGTCAAAGCTGCTCAGTCAAGGGTGGTCAAGGAGGCGAGGTCAACAAAAGACTGAAGAGCTTAGTGATGGACAAATCCTCTTGAGAGATACACAAGCCCTGAAAATCCAATACCCATGGAGATACCACATTACATTATATAATTGAATGTGTGTATATATAAATATATAGGTCCTGCAGGATGTTTGTCCATCAAGAGTCAAGAGTGTCCAAGTAAAAACTCGTGCGTTCAACACTTGGCTCCTCTGCAGCTCGAAGCACCTGCAGCTTGGGGTGGACCGATGGTACGATGTCGGGGTGAAGTGGCACCGTGCCTTTTCGTTCTTTTAGAATTGGCCGACTTAGTTCATTTTACTCCGAAGTCAAGAACTTCCGAGTCCCACAGCAATCCCAACCCCACCTGACGTTGCTGCGCACTCAGACGCACCTGCGGGAACAAGCAGGTCCGGATTTCCCACAAATCCAAAGGGGATGTTCCATGTTCCCCTGGGCTTCCCCTGCAGCCTCCCTTCCTTCTGAACCCGACAAAGTTTGGTACTTTTCCCAAACGCGCCAAAGTGGCTGAATCTTTTGGATTCCTCGCAAGTTTCAGTTCTTAGAAAACGACTTTTGGAATCTTTTGGAAGTATCAGTTACCATCAATGTTCCCATGAACCACAGGGTGGCTTGGGGAGCGGCCCAGGAAAAGGATGCATGAAACCTCGCAATACGTGTCGGGAATAAGTTACAACCGTACCCAAACATGCTTGTCATCCACTTTAATTGGATTGGCCACCTGAATTCGGATGACAACCAAGCACTGGATTGTGTGTGGTAGCTTGAGCAAAGATCGGCTCGGCCGCTCCTCATGCTGCTCCTGCGTCCGCAGGGAGTTCGCCAGGGATGCGATCGCAGAACACGACTTCTCCTCGGTGATAGAATCATCTGGTATCAACACTCGACACCTGAAGCCTGAAGCTCCGCCGGGTTCAAGGTGTGGACATCAATGTGTATTCAACTCATCATAACTCATAACTGTCATAACTCATCCAATTCGATCACCAAAACATGTCAGTACCCGGCCAAGAGCCCACGCTAAACCTTCAAGGGTCACGCCCTTCATGGAGCTCTCAGAGAGGCGAGAGGCCTCAGATTCGACGGAGTCTGCCCGTGGCCTTCGACTTGAAGGGGAGCTCCGTTCGGAGCCAGGAGCCCCGATCGTAGCGTCCGAACGCTCCTGGTAGTAGTAAGGCCAGTCTTGAAGAAGCGCTCAGATTTTTAGGAAAACTTACTTCGACGTTGTCGCTTCGTCCCCCGACGTGACGGAGGAAATGCCAAAGATGTCTCACGTAAAGGATATAGTGTCGCGCCACCTCCACCCTGGCCGGTACAATCTCCGTGGGAAGCGGAGGACCTATCTGTGCATCTCTGCGCCATCTCAAAAAAAACAAAAACACAGCATGCAACGCAAAAACTCGGTAGCTTTACACCTCTGATTGGTGCTAAAGCATCTCTTAGAGACTCCTCTTTGCTCCGACAATTCCTTCTCCCAATGGTGCCCACCTGTAGTTGGCCTCCGTGCTCCGCTGGAAGATCTTCAAGGATCCAGGGAACATCAGCGCCTGAGCGTGACCCACCCAGGCCCTGGCGCCCTACAGGTAGTTCACCCACCCTGGCGTCCAATGATGCCGATGTCCAATGATGTCGATGCTTGACTCCTCTTGGAGAGTGGTCAGTCAATCTTCAGCGGTCAACCCTGTTCGCAACGGAATTCTGTGTGTGCGGGATTGTGTGTGTGTTTTTGTGTCTCTCTCACTCTCTCTCTCTCTCTCCCATTGAGAACTGAGGAACTCTGAGAACATCCAAGGGCTGTGCTCGCGCAACCAGACGCGCAAAGAGCCAAAACAGGATCAAGTCGACGGTCTCAGAAACAAGGGCGTGGATTCCTCTATTTTTTGGCTCCCTTCTGCATCCTTTCGGAGACGCTGGCTCAGGTTCGTTGTGATGTCAAAGAAGGTTTCTCTATCTTAGAGAAATCTTGAATTACCTTGCCAAGCTCTTGACATTCTCACCTATACAACCCACATTCTGGGTCTCCCGAGCCACTGCACCTTTCGCGCCCATCACTCGAGCCACGCAAGTGCTGAACAGCACCAAGATCCTCAAACGTGGCGCAGGGTTTGGAGATGTTTGGAGTAATATGCGGCGTGCCCTTCGGATCTTGCTTCAGACATTTCGAGGACCAATGCCACCGACACGCACCTTACACTGCGTGGAATGTTAACTTGTCATCTGGTTGCCAGACTAGCCCCCAGTTGCAAGCACCCCGGCAGAATCACCAGCGCAATGACGAGGACCACCACCAAGCAAATGGTCGGTGCATCCTCAGAGAGGAGACGTGTTTTCCAGCAAAATCCAGGACCCTGCACCGGTACCAGAGCAAGCTTGGACAGCATGTGTATCTTGCCTAACTTCATATCAAACCAAACACCTTGATCCTCACTCAATGTCTCCAAACGTGCCACCTCTGGGCCCGACCTTGTAGACCCGCCCAATGGCCTCATAGGCACAACCACCCTTTTGTGTCTCCAAGTGCATCAAAGACCGACAGACCGACATGAGTGTCACTGCGTCGTCTTGGCCTTCGAAACTTGCCAATAGAGCTCCTCAAACATACACAGATCCCCCGGCTCGCCCGGCTCGCCGACCAATTTCGGTGTCACCATTCGTCCCAAACCCAGCCTTGCAGGTCCTCGAGAGCACCTCACAAATCCTCAGGATTTCATGGACATTGACAGTTGACTGGTGGCAACTCTGGTGACAAGGTGGCAACTCGAAGGGCTTGTTGTCCTTGCAAGTTCATCTGACTATCTGTCCAAATGGTTTTATGGCTTTCATGGTCTACGTGACTTTCTTCCACTCTTCCATTCTGGGGAATGCAGGGGAGCTAAGGGCCCCTTAGCTCCCTGAGCACTCTAAGTTGCTGGAAAGAAGAAACAATGTTAGACGTAGACCAAACCACACATCTCACTGACGATGCCCACCTGGAGCATCGTGACCAGGCCATTCCATTCGACCGTGACAGTCTTGAGTTTCTGGGTTTCTTCTTTCAAGAGCCTGTTTAATGCTTGTCAAACCGACAGAGAAGCAAACCTCATTCCATTGAATTCCATGTCTTGCCCGCAAAAGACACTTCGGGGTGCAAAAGGAGATTGCATGATGTCACTTTCAAAGGGCAAGGTCGTTCTTGGTGCCGTGTGGCGAAAGAAAAGAACGGACTTTCTTCCATCTCGTACAGGGAGTCAAACTGACAAACCAAAATTCCTTTCATCCTGGAAGCTACTCTTAACTCTTACTTCTCGCAACTTTTCAGAGTTTGCTCTGTGAAGGGATTGTTTCGTGTTGAATGGGTTTCGAATCATGAGGTTTGGCGGATGGCCTCAGCACATCCTTGCATGCAAATGTCTTCCACATGTAACTGCGAGCCAAAACGTCAAACGGGATGCGCGTTGAACGCCTGCCTCGAACACAAGACAACAAGTAGAGCGTCATAAGGTCCGACACAAGACGTAGATGTCAGAAGGTCCAACATGTTCCTGAACAGTGAAGGACGAGTGAGGGACGCCGCTGTTCAAACGGCAAAGGGCCACGGTCAGTGTAGTCAGTTGGCAAATCCTTTTCTCACACTCATCCACCAAGAAAGGGCACAAATCTCAGATCTCGGGCACAATCTCATGTGGTGATTCCCTGGAGAGCAAAAGTGACAGTTTCTTCAACTATGGTCAGAGCCGTAAACACATTCTTATGTTCGCTACTAGGGGCTCCTGGCATCGCTACTAGGAGCAAGGACGCTACTAGGGGCTCCTGGCCTTACTACTAGGAACAAGAAGGCTACTAGGAGCAAAGGGCATCGCTACTAGGAGCAAGGACGCTACTAGGGACGCTACTAAGGATGCTGTGCTATGTGATGACCATGCCGCCTTCGTTCACGCTGCAAGTGGCACAGCCCATGGCATAGAAGTAGTTCTTGACAGCACTGTTTGGTCAAAGGTCCCAGTCATCTGACCTGCTTCAGTGAGGGCCGAGTATGGGAAGAGTATGTATGTATATTAATATATAATGTGTAACATGAAATATAATATATATATATACATATATATATATATATATATTTGTTTTTCTCTTACAACTATAATTGTTGAAAAGCATTTATCTATTTACTTGAACAAAGGGTGTGAAACCCTTGGGCATCCAAGACTATTCGTGTTGCAAACAACAAACATATGCAACATTCACAACTTAAGGCACCCCAAGGCCCACGTGTTTTCTGACCCTGGCACCTGTTGGTCGTCTCATGGCTCATTCACGAAAACATCAACAAACTAGGTGCGACAACCAGCTTTTGCTCATTTGTTTACATGCAAAAAAATGCACTGAGGACAACCAACACCTACACCTTCGTTTTCTTGATTCCGGTCTCTGTGCCTGGGTTTTTGGGGAGCCTCCTTTGAAGCCAGTGCCAATCCCAATTAGCAAACAAGAAGGTCATGCAGTGCATGGCAGAATTAAGCTAACAGATTCTTTCGCACACGTTCATCTTCAAGTCTCGCTACCATGGCTTGCAAGTTGGCCAGGTGGAACCTTGTGGGGTGGAACCTCATACACATCCACCAATGGTTGAGGGACTGCAATCGTTCTGATGTTTTTTCCATGTCCGTAACGAGGAAGAAAGTCACTATAAAAGGTGGGAAGTGTATCACTCTGCACTGGCGCTGACTTGAAGGCTATTACCAGTAAACCCTGTTTGGAAAGTTGTCCGTTGCACCTGTTTGGCTCGTTTGGCTTCATTCGGGGAAGGTCCGCCCAAAAATATGGCTCTGGAAAAAAAAGAGAGGAAGTGGCCCGCGTGAAACACCGATCGCCCTGGGGGTCCATCGGGAAGGCTTGGGACCATCAGGCACACCCATGGCACACCTGAGGCTGGCCTCTTCGAACTTCGCCTGAAAGGAAAGGACATGAATGCAACATGAATGAAACATCGGAAAGATTGGGCTCGTGCCTGGACTTCCCATGGTGGAGAGGTGTCGAAGCGCCAACGACACAGTCTGCTGGGTGGCAAGCCAATTCCACTTGAGATCGGCGGAAAGATAACAATGCTTAAAAGTTTGGTTGGAGGCCATCACTCTTAGGTTCTTAGGTTGGAGGCCATCGCTCTTAGGGGGGAGGCGCCATCGCTAGTAGATCACGGCCTCTTTTGAAGAGAATGTACCTTTCGAGCCTGGAAACCATGGAAGACAGGGCTGTCATGTATCAACGTGCCGTCTTTCACCCCTCCAAGTCTGAAAGGAATCGCACGCTGGCAGAGCACTGTTCCTCCTGTCAAAGAGAAGACTTGGGAAGCTTCACGCAAAAGCCTTCTCTGTATGGACGCAATCACAGTTCAACCAGGTTAGGCTGCCAAGTGGATACAGCCGCCGTGAAGCAACTACAGTCTTAGTGATGGCATGGAAGCCATTCCAGGCAACTCAGCCTGAAGGAGATCTCAAAATAGCCAAGCAACTGCTCACTGTGCAGGTGGTGCTACCAAAAGCACTGAAAGACAAAGTGGAACTGAACAAAAGCCATTTGAGCCTGCCAGTCTACAGCTTCGCATGGAAGCTTCAGCTGCCGTGAGGGGAAACTCTGCCCAGCTCCGGTCGATGTGTTCCCAAGAGGCAAGGTACAGTAGACAGTTTGGGTTGGAAGGTCTAGCCATGTGATGCATTGCTGCCACAAAAAACCATGGACAATCTTTGCGGCAAATTTCTGGCGTTCCGCACCAACTTGAGGCTCTGCTTCCAGAAACATGAATTTAAAGCCCAATCCATTGTCTTGATATGCCTAAAGCGGTGTATCATCAACCAGGAATTTGTTGACTGCCACCAGTCCATCCACGTTCGCTACCTTCCTATGAAAATAAATGGGGCGGTGACTGTCATGCATGTGTCAACTATTGTTAAATTTCATCTCGGGTAGAAGCCTCACATCATTCGCTCTTCGTGAGGTAGATCTGGATCTTCCTTCACTCCCTGCCAACTGGGCCCAGTCTCCCACAATAATGGAGTGGGCCAGGGAGAAAGCTAAGTGTATGATGTGGCAGGCAGTGCTAAACCGAAATCCTGCAATGCTCATAGCAAAGGCAGTGGACAGCATTCACCACTAGCATGTGCGCAAAAACCAAGGTCTATGGCATGTTATGTTCCTTTTTCTACCTTGTTCTTCACCCGACAGGATCTTGGCTTCGCTCAAGTGAGAGCCTAAGAAGATTGGCAACTGAAGAAGCTGGCGACGTTTGAGGGTAGAATATGGTGCAGCTTTATTTGGGTGAGTTTGCCCCACTCTGCTGTGTTTTTCGCCCAAGTCAAATAGCGCGTGATAGATGGAAAAGACTGAGTCGGCATAGCATTAAACTGTAAGGCGTGGAGAATGTTAGTGTCCTTGCCACCACTGGTCCGAGGCGCGCAAGCATAGGGGTGGGCAAGCTAAGGTTGCTAATATGACAAAGACAAAGTCATACTCTGCCCAAGCCTAGCAGCGCCTAGCACCTCGAACACCTTGCAGCATGCCGGGTGCGCTTGAGGACTTCTTCAGACCGCAAAGCAAAGCTTGGATGCTTGAAATCAGAGAGACTCTGAGCACTCAACGGCCTCCTACAACTAGATCAACAAGAATTCTGGGGAGCTGTGGAAGTGCCGCCTCAAGCCAGCCAAGTGTAGTCAACGAGAACGTGTTGCGCAGCTCTTTCTTCAGCAACTTGCTGTGTGACAACTGTCTCGATTTGATGACGGCCCAGTATCAATGAGTATATCGGTTGGAAGACCCGAAAGAAACAACCAATGAATCAAGCGCAATCGGAACCCTTCTGGTGAAGGCGACTGGAAATGATCCGGAAACCTCGTCGAAAGCGTCACCTCGCTTTCGACGATCTTCGGCCGGCGTGGGCAAGCTGGCTGAGAACAGCCCTGCCTGCCCCCCCACAGCCCCCCTCTGCATGCCAAATTAGTGCCAAATTAGTGAGAGCATGTGAGAGCCTTGGTGTACCCAAGAGAGTGCCCACTTAGGGTCCTGGACCAACCAGCTCGCTTGATTTTGACCTCACGAAAAAGCCCAGATCAGATCTTCATTTCAGCCGTGTTTTTGTTAAAGGTAAAGTGCCTATACACTGCTGGGTCGCCTACGCTGCGCGGTTCGCAGGCATGGAGTTGAAAAGGGCGGGGAAATCGTAGGGTGTTGACATTCACATGTCCCTTTCGTCCGCTTCGCCGAGGGCCGAGCACTGGTTCTTGATCGCCGGGTAGGCACAAATGGAGAAGTGGTGTCTGACGTTGTTGAATGACAAGAAGTCTGAATCACCAAAGAAGCTTTGCCACCCCTGAAAGCAAGATCAGCCTCATGAGAATCCCGGCAAAAGACGACTCCTAAAGGACTGTCTAATTGTTTGACGGTCACGACATCTCTCTTTCGAGACGGATCCGTTCAGGAACCGGCGCTTGCACCAAACACAAACTCGCTGGGGCTTCAGCAGCGGTCGAACTTCACTCGACAAACACCAGAGCGTCTCGGGCCGACTGCGTTGAGTT